GTGTGTGTGTGTGTGTGTGTGTGTGTGTGTGTGTGTGTGTGTGTGTGTGTGTGTGTGTGTGTGTGTGTGTGTGTGTGTGTGTGTGTGTGTGTGTGTGTGTGTGTGTGTGTGTGTGTGTGTGTGTGTGTGTGTGTGTGTGTGTGTGTGTGTGTGTGTGTGTGTGTGTGTGTGTGTGTGTGGGCATTTGTTTTCAGAAGATATTATGATAGTGGCGTTCGTTCCGGTGCACTCCGACAGCACTTAGCACTAGCCTACATCGAGATTAAGATTAAACGAACTTCTTTCACTTGGAAATACACATATGGAGTTAGCCAGATGTGTGTAAATTACTGTTCATGGTCATTTGAAAACATATGCCGGTGTCGGACACACGCATACACCGAACACACACACCCACACAGAGCTGAGCTGAGCAGAGCGCAAACACACGCATCATGTAGCATTTCACGTTTCCATAGAAACAACAACTTCCTGTCAACAGTGTAAACTCGCCTTCAAAATAAAAGCATCTAAATAAAACAGGAAGTTAACCTAAATTACATTTAAGACATATACAACTGCAACGAAAGTATGTGTTAGGAGACAAATTAACCCAATTACAATGGCAACAGTACAAGTAGTACGTGTATTAAAAACACATGTATAACAATTATACGTAAAGTGCAAGTCTTCACCAGAGCAAACACAATCGCCAACATAGTAATCTTGCCAGAAGTCTTTTTTTGTGTGAGTGCAGCAGCTTTAATCCAGTGTGAAGTTTCCGGGCCTATAATGACTTGAGAGGAGCTGCATGTCATTATGCTGCAGAGAAGTGATTAGTGACTTTGTTCCACTTCCTCCTCTGCCCCGCTCTGATCCTCAGGGTGGCTGCTCTGAGGTCAGCGGGGCTCCCAAAGATAGCTGCTGCTGACACTCACCCACTTAACACGTTGCGTATGACTTCCTCAGAGGAGGGAAGCCCTCCATTGACATTTATGTAAATGGAGGAAACATTGACTCTGTTGACTAGAATTGATAATAAGGTTAGAGAGGAGAACATTTATAATTCACATTTAATATGGGTAATGCATTCAACCTTTTCCGGTGGGGAATACATTAGGAGAGTGAGTGGATATAGGAAGCTATAGTGGACTATGTTATTAAGAGTTACCATCATGGTATTTATAGGCCTGTTTTACATTCTCATGGTCAGTGGATAGAACGGGATCCTGGAGGGGGGGCAATGGGATATGTTCAGGCTGCAGGCAATGTCAGCACATGGATTTAGATTATATATATTTTTTTATTCCAATTTGTGCCACGTTTATAGAGTATGTAGTCCGAAAACAGATCAGGTCTAAATGTGTTGCAGTGCCAACTGTGTCTGAAATCGGTATTCAGTGAAAATGATCCCGTCAAAGAGTGTCAAAAAAAATATATATACTAACCCAGTGTTGCCTGCTATTCTCCAATGAGAGTTACTGGCAGCACCAGCTCTGACAGTTGCGAAGTCTTTTTTGATTTATAAATAATTGTTGGGATAAAAACACAATTGCAACAAATATAACTAAAATGTTTTTTTATGAAAATAACCAACCCTATCTTTAACCGGCTGGCTAAGTTTAATTGAAGGTTAGTCTCCACAACTCATGCTAACTGTATTAGCAGCCTGCAGTGGCTACTATTGTGTTTACATAATCAGACTTAGTGTGTGTATGTTTGGGGGTTGTACATCAAGGCCCTGTTGGTTGCATAACAGTTATTCTTGGTACATTTTGACAGACACTGGCACATTACCTCGTGAAAACGCTTGTTTTTCGAGGAGCCTTCATGAGCCAAGTCGCCATGGTAACTGCTGAAAACTTTATCATGTTTGTATTTTGCACAAGAGGGCCTGGCTTGTTAATACTGCCTAACCACACTCAGATGTGATGTTGACTGGGGGTCTCGATAATCCGGGCTGTAATTCAGTAATGGATTCTGAAGAGGAGCTGGCGCTGAGAGCTCCTTCTATCAGCACGTCCATGGCCAGTGCGGAGAGACAGACAGGCCATGTTTCCTGCTTCTCTTCCTGCCTCTGGACACAGCTCTCTGCTGTTGTTGGCAACTATCTCCAGGAAGTGTCTCCCCTCTGCTCTGCGCTGCTCGCTTTCTGCTGCGAGTAAACAAGCTCTTTTATTCATTGTCTGGGCCGAGAGGGAGGTGCTGTGGGGACACGGAGCGAGGGAGAGAGGTGAAGTCAGTGTTCAGGAATGTGCCTGGGCAAGCCTTTGGGTTGACACGGGCCAGATGACTGAGAGGGAATCCTTGGCAGAGGGAAGCCGGGGAACCCCATCCAACACTTCCAGCCCTGTCTCTCTTCCCTTCCCCTCTCTTCTCTCTTTCCCCTTTTGTCTGTCTTGTCCTCTCACTCTGTCAATTCTTGTCTCCAGCACTCAACTCGCAGCCAGCCTGTCTGCTATAAAAAAAACATTATACAACCAGGGAGGCACAGTAATGGGGAAACAGGCTCATGTCAGACTGCTGGAGCATGGAAAACAGCAGAACCCACTCCTCCACCTCGCCGCTGCTGGCCAAAAGTCCCCCGTGAGTTCAACCGTGTCCAACCTGAACTCTGAAAACCCTCCAGACAGCAAGTTTGAAAAGCAATTTACAATGACTCATCAGCTATTATTATGCACGCTCCCAAGTAGGTTGTTACCTAATAGACGAATAATATTCAGCAGATCATGTTTTGGTCCGACTGGAGGCGTTATCATATTCTTGGCGTTAATGCCTATCCAAGAACTTCTCAGTTCTTTAATAGCTTGTTTGTACAATCCATTTAGCTCCCTCTGGTTTCATTACCAGCCAAATTAGGCAAATTATTTCACCTGTATTCTCAAAAAACTAATATCTCCTTGGGTTGGATTGTTTTTGACTACAGGGAAAGCACATTTGGAAGTCATGGAACGATTACAGAAGTCATGATGTAAAATTGTTTCTCTTTCTGCCAGTGGCACGTTTAATATATGTAGCTGCAGAGTTTTAGTTTTTGGAAGGAGGCTGTGCACAGGGTCACGTGTTTTACTCGTGTAGCACCGTCTGGTCAAAACATGCGGAGAAACATGAGGTTTCCACTGTTTAAACAAGAGATTCACCTTTACCGAAAGAGAAGATGATAAAATGAAGGCTTTGAGGGCAAATGCACTAAATCCAGCTGGAAATAATGGATTTTATTATCATATATCACATTTCTTAGATGTGATGGATGTTGTTTGTTACATTGGAGTCATTCGTCCGTAGCTTTGCGTTGGACTGGGTGAGAATCTTCCAGTGACTCAGCACGCCTGCGTCTCATCGTGGTGGCACTGATCAACAGTACTTGTCAATTGGAATGTTTTTAGAACATGACTGATGTGTTTTCTACTCACACCAGTGACTCATCTGTGTGGTGGGTGTCAGGTTCTGGTAATCAAATCAGAAGAAATCTTCAGCTTGCCTCAAAATGCCAGAAAAACACCAGCTTTTTCTTTACAAATGACAGATGAAAAATGACAAGATGATGTGAAAGAAAAGAGCAATGCGTTTTGATTCACGGGTTTGTTTTTGTGGGAGCTTACCCACACACTGATGCACATGCTGATGACGAAAATAAAAAAAGGGGGGGGTTTAGCACTGAGACTGAGAAAAAACTGTTGAGAGAGTGAAGCTGCAGTGTGAATGCCAATGAGATCACCGCAGCTCTGATAAAGGAAAAGTGTTGCCTGGACAATCGGAGGAAAGTTAGCTAAAATTCATTTCAGATAGGGCTCCAACTATTGATTGTGTCCAATGTTTAAACCTTTCAATTACTTTTTTGATTAATTGAGGCAAAAAGAAAAGAAAAATACTAGTCACAAGTTCCCAGACCCTGAAGCTACTATTTCGAATTGTGTGTTTCGAGCCATCCAAAATGAAATAAATAACATTAACACTGAACAAATGATCACTCATGCTATGTTTGTTTGCTTGATAAATTGCTTCAAAAACTGAGTATAACAATGTTTGCCATTTCGCTAATATTCTATAATAATTACAAAAATATTTGCCTAAAAGAAAATAATAATTGTTGGTACAGACCAAATCTACCATATTAAAAATATATGTATAGAACCCTGCAAGGTTTTGGAGCTGAAATAATTTGGAAATGAAAATGTTTTCAGTCATTTCTTTATTATCAAGTAATTACCAAAAATGCATCGCTTCCACTCCATTAATTGTTCATATTTTCAGTTTCATAGTATCTTCGATAACATTAAACAACTGTTAGTGTGTTTTTGACCGAGCAATAATGATTATGCCAACATTGCATTTACGTGTACATAAAGGGCATTTTCACCAAACAATTAATTGAGAAATAATGGTTAGATTAGTCAATAATTAAATGCATAGAAAAATTGATTTCGTATTGCAAAAAAATATGCACACACTTTTTTTACAAAAATAAAAGCATTTAAAGAGGCAGCATTTCAGATAACCTTTACCAGATCATGAGATGAGCAGTCATACTGGTACAAAAGGCCTTGGTAATGTCTCATGTAATTAAATAAATTGTATTTATATAGCCAATTATTACAAACCATACATTTTCCTCGAGGTGCTTTATGAAGCTGATTCTTATCACAGTGCTCTCCCATTGTTCTGGGTTTCATTATGCAGCGCGAGGCCTGAAGCTACACTAAAGCTACTGAAGGTGGAATATAAAACATCTTGAGTTCAGAATAGCTTTGATTGCTAGTTATTCAACTGATTAATAATACAATAGCAGGTATTAATCCCACAGTATTGCCGTTCTGCCTTCTCATCATCACCCAGCAGAACGATCCTGCAGGGACATTTGTACGCTTGCATGCATATCAGTCTGACGGAGTTCATCAAATGTATTAACTGCTCTTGTCTCTCTCCTCCACCCCCCTCCCCCTCCCCCAACTCCACCCCATCACTCTCTCCTGCCCTGCCAATTGGATCCTTTTACAACCGGCCTGGTGTGACATCCACAGAGCTCCCCGCTGAAGAAGGTAAATATTGATTTTTCCAGTGCGCTGCGATCCTCCTCCCTTTACGAGCTGATTAGCCGTCTTGAGCCGGGATCTTTTCTGCTCTGTAGACAGAGGGCTGAACTTTGGGAGTGTACACTACTGCAGCTTTCACCAAAGGACACACTCCACTACTCCTTTGTAAACACTCATTTGTGTTGCTTTGCTGTTCAGTACAAAGCAAACCAATGTCAATACATCTCACAGATCCGGCCCACCCTTAAGAATAAGGATACACTTTGAGAGTGGAAGACTCAAACTTTAAATAGGGTGTGGTGGTTGCTGTGCATTACACTAACCTAAACTGATATCAAATACCAAACAATATATTCATTTTTTAAGTTCTCCCTTCCAATTAACACCTAGATATATTGTTGTGCAATAATTAAAGTCGCAGTGATTGCAGGATGTTATTGTTAGATTTGTTTTGATCTAATTTTACCCTTTTTTTTATTTGTTAGTGGTTTTTATTTGCAATGAATCGCATTCTTTATGACACATTAGTTATTTGTGTTTTCTTGGATGTTTCCCTAACATTCTCATCACTGTTGTGCTGTCACTTCCGTTTTGCTTTTGCACCAAAAAGTTAAATGTAAAGGCTTGTGCATATTTCAGGAAAGTCCCTGTGGGATCTGATGGCGGAGCAGTTTGAAGACCTCATGGTGCGGATCCTGCTGCTCGCTGCCTGCGTGTCCTTCGTAAGTAACACCCAAAGTATTATAACTCCATATTCATCTTGGATTGTATTTGATACCGATGTTTAGAGTAACAATTTGGCCAATGCCGATGTTTTTTTAGTAACATTTTTTGCTGTTATTCATACCTTTTTGTGGCAGGAAAACAAATAAATCTTCATTATAAGAATATTACTAACCACCTTTTTAGCCTTTAATCAAACGCTAACCTTGAATGAGCACGACTTCCTAAAAAGAACTGGACATTAAATGGCTACATTGCCTCATTCAATGTTCTAATCCTTCAAAAATGACGGCCAGTTTTTTTGGGTGATCTTGAGATAAATGACCAGTAGTGGTCTATTTTCATGTGGAAACCTGTGTATTTCAGGCTTTTCCTTTCCACCCAGTGTAGATATGGTTTCAGTGAGGGGAAACGGGCAGAGCACTTCTGCTGAACTGGGAAAAAAACGATCAGTCTAAGCTCCCTCTGCTGCAGCGCCTCAAACTGTGACCCTGGTTTCAGTCGGAGGGTGGTGAAGGTCGAGGACGGGTGGAGTGAGGGAATCCTGACTGCATAATAACTTCTTTTTTTCCAGTACGTCCCCAGAGTCTGAGGATGGAATTGCTGTTGCTATTTCTGAAAGTAGGAAAGTTGCTCTAAAAATGAACATGACACAACATATCTTCTCTAAGTGTGTTAGGCCGTAACTGCGTGTTACAGTAGGCCGTAACTGCAGGACTCTGGGCCCACTTTTCCCCATGTAAATCATGCTTTAAAATGTTGTTTATGGTGGGACACAGCCCCTGTTCCACTGCTGCACCGACCCTAACGCTTTACATTGCTGTTGTTGCCTGGAGTGGTTTCAGCTCAGGATCTAAAATGATGTTCCTTATGACCTGATTTGACTCAAGGTCACAAATATATTAAAAGCTAGAAGCTCGATCCAACACTTTTCCAGTGGTTGTCTTCTGATATTTCTATAGTAACCTTTTAACCTTTCTGTTTTCAGTCTACTGTCTCCAGGTTAATCAGGTAGTGGCTAAAGCAGAGTGAACTGGAATGAAAGACATGCCTTAGCCGGGGACTCATTTGGTTATTTTGAATATATTCAAATTGAGTAGATTAGACTCTCCTTCCTTCTTTGCATGACACATGTTTAAAGCTTATCAGACAAAACAGGTCAGGCTGCTCTGTAACTTTTTATACTTACATCTGTAATGAGTAATAGTGACTTGGTAATAAGGAAGTTGGTTAGGTTTCTTCGCCACATTTAGCTATGCTTCTCACAATTGCCCCATCTGAAATACATCTATTGTTAGAAATGGTAAGATCAGAGTTAAGAATTACGTTTAAATAACCACGTTTTAGCAAACACACAGCATAAAATGCTCTCTTTGTGGAAACATGTATTGACCTTTGTTGCTACATAAAAGAGGTTTCATTAACCTTTTAATAATGGGATTGTTCTCTCTTTAGAATAGCTACCTGCAAAAAGCATAGTGAACTGATAAAAAGCAATGCATAAAAAGTATGTATTCATCTTAAATGAGAAACAAAAACAGCTTACAGTATTTAAGGTTTCAAATTGATATAGGTACATTAGCTAAACTGAATACATTAGTTTCTAATGCTATTATCAACATTTATAAGAAACTAAGGAAATTAGAAAATTAGGCTTTTATTAACGTTCCAAAGCAGTCCAAGTGTTAACAAGCTTCCGACAATTGCTGATAAATGTATTTTAATCTAAAAGGTAAATTGTTGATGATGCTAATGTTAAATAGTCTTTTTAACACATAGTGTTAATAACCCTCAATGAAAGACTTTAATATACCACCTTGGTGTAATATACTATATTATGACAATATTTAATGAGGTATTTCTTTAGCAGTACCTCAGTTTATATAACGATTTCATTGTTTTCCTTTCAAAAGTGATGTTTGTTAATATTGCTGAAGCTGGTCTATCTGGTTAAGTTTTAATAGGGCATAGCCACACAGAAAGCCACAGCAGCCGTCTGACATAATTGCTGCACTTCCTCCCTTTGAGCTGAAGAAAGAAAGTAGGCTGATCTTTATTTGGTTTGCCACGTCACTCTGTGGAGTTAATGTTCATGAGACTATAGGAAAAATCAAGTGACAATAGAATTGGATGTCAAGCCCTCTTTGTTTATACTACATTTTTCAATAGGCAACCTTTTAGAAGTGTTTTTTCCTGACCAACTTGATAGGAATTCATTTAGATTTTCCATTTTGAGCATCCAAACACTCACATATAATGGGCCATCTGTCGCCATGTGTGTCAGCGTTCAGTTATGCATGCGGGGTGTGAATGTTTAAAGCTGTAAGTAGAGATTTATTTTGGCAATCAAGCTTTGATTTCAATACCTAATGTTAAATCTGAGCTAAAGTTAGTATCAGATTGCCAAAAGCAAGAAGTTAAGTTTCCACCAGATTCCCTTAATGAGTTCTATAACCCGAAAGAAAGCCTACTCATCTTGTAATTTAACCTCCTATTCAGCTTGAAAGTAGCAGTAAGGTATTCAAACCCTTCTTAATGTGTTTTGAATGGGTCTTTTAAACCGTCCTTTCTGAGAAGACTGCCCTCCAATCTTCACTCAGTCAGAGGGGAGATTTACCGTCCCCAATGATGGGGAATGATGAGCTATCGACCGGGCTCTGGTCTGCCTCGACATGCACTCCGCTGCTCAATACACCGGTGGGGGGGAGAGGTGGGGGGGGAGATACTCTTTTATCATTTGATAAACCCCATCAGATCATGGAAAAGTAGACTCCCACTAGAAAATGCATTTCCTGCTGAAAATGCGTGCGAATGCTGTAAACTGTGTACATTTGTTGCTGAATTTAGCTGAAAATGCAGAAAAAGCTGAATATTGTATTAGTTGAATGGTAGCTACAAAAACCAAGTAAGTGTGTTGCTGAACTTAGCGGAGAAATGCAGAAAAGTGAAATGATTTGAATCAAAATTGTTTTGAAGAAGATTAAAGATTTGAAGAACTATAGTGCGAATGCTGTAAACAGTATTCACACTAATTATCTCTCCTTTCTGTCTCCGTGCTGCTCTCGCTGTGCGGTGTGTGTTTAGGTCCATCGACAAAGTAGCGCTGTAAAGTCATTTTGGTGTTGCAGTGGGGAGCTTTTTATGTAATGATCTCCTAAAGATGTACTTGTTGCTTGTTATAACAACACAGAGAAACTATCTCTGACACATTTTCAGAATTCATTCCTATTTACTGCTGCTATGTCTGGCTGTGAACTGGCTAATGTTCAGTGACATAAAAGTAAATGCATAGTATTTTCACCAAATCTGTGGAGTTATTGGGGCCATTCCATTAACATTATTCCACATTTTTATTGAAGTATTTTTTTATTCATGATAGTTTGACTTGACCCACCTCTAAGGCAGGACTTTGAAGCAGCTATAGTCCATATTTTTACATTAACACCTAACCCTAACTTGTAACTGAAAGGAGTTGCTCTTAGCAACAAACTCATAGGAAATAGACGGCTATCCCCATCCTGTTAACAACAAACATTCTAAGTGTATCTGCCTTGTGTTTTGGATCGCTTCAAAATCTAATGGATTCTTCATGGCTCATGCTACACCCTTTCAAAACTAATTTTGTGCCAGGAATGTTTCAGTAATCCTGCCAATAAACGGACAAACAAAGCAAAAACATAACTTCCTTGTTGGAGGTAATAAGAACTTTTTGAACACAATGGGTGATGTCAATAAAGGTGTTCATGAGTTAATCGGATAGGGCTGTTGTGGTGCATCAGGAGGGAACTAAATGAAACACACACTGGTACAAAGCTTCTATGTCCAAATAGTATTTTAGCTTGTTTCTATCTCCACATTTTCTTGCAGCATGTTTTCTCCTAAATGTATTTCAGAGCAATCCATGTTTGAAAATGTATATCCCGGAGTCAGCATGTGACTTGAGTTGCAGTATAAAACGTGTGCTAATGTTCTGTTTACTGTATGTTCATCTAGGTGTTGGCACTGTTTGAGGAGGGAGAGGAGTCAACCACCGCCTTTGTTGAGCCTATTGTAATTCTTCTCATCCTCATCGCCAACGCTATTATCGGGGTCTGGCAGGTGAGATACTGTCTCCATGTTGTGTCACTGTATACACACATTCACACTACTAAGGCTGTTTCCACATGGTAACAAAGGCTAACAATGCCAATGAAGTCAGTAAAGAAACATAATGTTATCTTGTCCACCAGCTGTTGCCCAATGCACCGTTGGTATATTTGTATTAGTGTGCCATATCCAAACATGTTCTAACATCTGTACGTCAAATGGCACTTTGCAAAGGGCTGAGGCTGTACACACCTGAGTTTGTAAGTCCGTGCGTCAAGTCAAAACGTAAACAAACCAGGGAGCTCATGCAAAGTGCCCCCGCGGTTCATTTGTGTTAAAGAGGAAGATGGAATTTTTGATGCAAGCTCCAAAAATAGATCCGGAGCATCCATCGGCACTTCTGGAAAGAAGTCTGACACTCAGTTTTAGGCTGCTGTTAGGACACAGTGGAACAAGTGGATAACTCTTCAAAGTGTTTCCAATATGGGAGCAAATGTCCAAAAACAACCATGAAGCTACTAACTCAAACTATTTCAAAACAATATTTGTGGAGGATTATAATTCATTTTAAGACTCTCCAAATTCAAAGAAAGAAAATTGTACTTCAAGGTGCTGGAGAGAATGCTGTGAGCAGATGGTAAACCACAGTCATATATTGTGGTCATGTAAAGCTTCTATTAGAGAACTATCAAATATTATATTTCTCTAAATAAAAACCCACTAATCCCATTTCTTGGAGAAAATACCAGAAAACATCAATCAAAGGATTGTTCCTAGTAATACAAGTAGGAGTAATTAAACAAATGACAAGAAGTTGGTTATTGATGTTAACTTAATCAACTCCAAATTGAAGGATGTTGTAAATAAATGAAAATTAGTTGATAGCCTGCAAACATCACTGACACTGCATTTTCCTGGCTGAAATCCTACCTCACCAACAGACACCAGTTCATCCATATCAATAACTGCACTTCATCCACCGCCTCTCTGTCCCGAGGCTTCCCCCAGGGTTCAGTGCTTGGTCCCCTCCTTTTCATCCTCTACATGCTCCCCCTTGACAAAATCATCCGTCGACACAGCCTTCAGCTACCTCACTGACCTGCTCCACCACCACACCCCCTCCCGCAGCCTTCACTCATCAGAAGCCAACCTCTTGTCTATCCCCACACAAATCAAGCACCGGACCTGTGACGGAGCATTCTCCATCGCTACCCCCACCCTCTGGAACTCACTCCCACAACAAATCAGAGACTGTACTGACCTTCAAAACAACGTTTTATTGTTCAACTTTTCTCTCTACTCTAATACTTTGATATTTAATTTATTTTTATTTTGGGGTTTTTGCCTGCATGCTTTTCCATACTATAACCTGAGAGCTTAAACTAAATATATTCAAAACCTCATACTACCTATTTTCTTTTTTAAATGACTTCCTTTTTGCCACATGTCTTTGTTACAGGAGCGCAATGCAGAGAATGCCATAGAGGCTCTGAAGGAGTACGAGCCAGAGATGGGTAAGGTGTACCGTATGAACCGTAAGGCTGTCCAGAGGATCAAATCCAGAGACATCGTCCCGGGAGACATCGTGGAGGTGGCAGGTGAGCAGCCGCTGCACCCAGTGGAACTCTAACTGTCACACTGAGACTAATTTACGCTTTGTCTACCTCCAACGCTGCTGTCACCTCGCTGCCTGTACTGTATAACACTGCTGCCACAAACACACAGCCTTTGCCACCCATTCATGAGTCTGGAAACACTATTGGAGTAGATTACTACCAGTCTTTTCTCTGGGTGTGCAGGTGCCAGGGCTGAAGTTGAATGTGTGTGTCTGTGTGAGGTACATTGTAAGTGGCTGTGGTCACCCCTTATATTTAAGTCCCGGTTTAATTTTCTGCAGCTTTCCCCTCCTTTTCCCTTTTTTGCTTTCCATGCTCTCAGTCTTACCACCTGGATGCTGCTGGATGTTTGTCAGCTCCTCGCTCACACTCCCCCATCATTACATGCACATACACACAGTCCCCCCGCTGTAAACTCGCCCATGTGTGGGCAGCCTCGTCTAAAAATAGTGTTGTTGTCACTTCGGTTCCAGAACATCTGTGTGTGTGCCAGAGTTGATGAGTGAGCGCACACATGCAGCACCGAGGAGATCACTTCACCGTCGACATGAGAGCGAAATCCTCGGCCTCGCATGGCCGGTGATTCGTCTCAGACGGCTGTTTGGGGAAGGAGGGAGAGCTCAGGATGCGTGTGTGAGAGAGCACAGCGTTCATTCATAATCACAGCACGTAGAGGCAGGGAGCGATTATACATGCTGCATTGGTTACAGTAAAGCCCGGGTGCTATCCGATTTCACTGAAGGTTTCCCTGCTATTTGCACAGGGTTCCCTGTGTGATGGAAAAACTTGGAAATAATGAAATTTAAAGTTTTGCAAAAAATGTTTTGTCGTGTTTAACTAAATCTATCTTTATAGTTAACTTATGTGTCGTAAACCTGTGGTAACGTTACATAACGTCAAATCTATTTTCTGTAGCTGCCAACGGAAAATCGTTCTAAAAGGCATTAAGAAGTGACAAAATGTTCCTAGTTTCTTATCGTCTCCCCGCATTGCGTTTCTCTCTATATTTATGCTAGCAAGGTGAATTAGGTATGATTGAATTCGATATTTTTGGATAATGCCATAGAGTGCATGTTAAATATCGGTTGTTAGAGGTATGAAATATTATGAAGTCTACAGATTCGCGTTGCCGGATGCTTTATTACTTCAGGTTTTACGTGCGTACATATCCGTGTTATTGTCATGAACGTAATTTCTTAAAGAACCCTTAAGGGAGTTTCTTGTTCTTCTTCTAGAACTTGCTGCTCATAGGGCAGTGGCACTGTGATCTTTTAAACACTTTTTTGGCCATAACTCAAGAATCATACAGTATGCCAGTTATAAAAATGTCACACGAATGTCACTTAGGGGGGTACAATAATGAAGAGATGACATATTGAAGCCTCATGGATTTGAACTCCAACTTGACAGTATAAAGCCACTTAATGCTACTGTATGGCATACGGTATTCTAGCCCTGGAAAAGGCTTTGCATTTTTTTTTAAATACATTTTGTCCATAAAAAGGTGTTGGAACCCTGTTTACAGCGTGTCTACTTTGATTACTTGCATCGGAAAGTAGGGAATTACACCTTGTGTGTACGTGCGTTTATGTGACAGGTAGGACTTCCTTGGAATCTGGGCTTGTTACAGCCGGTGTCCTCCTTCACACATGCGTGCGCACAGTGCCAAACACAGACAAGCCCACACAGGTAGCAAGCCCCAAACTGACTGCTCAACACCCACCTTCCACCACTACCGCCGTCCCCGTCAACACCAACAGTGTCACTATGACAACGCTCCATGCGCCGACTCATCTCGGCGACGCTGAAGTTCACAGTTTTTAACGACACCTGTGATGACAGCGTGGAGGACAGTTCAGACTTAAAATGAACCATCTGCTGTTTGAATAAGGGATTTTATGTTCTGACTGTCAGTCAGCAGCTGCTAGTGGTTTTCCCATTGTGGGGAAATAGGGGGCATGCAACAACATTAACTACTTTTTAATTTTCAGTATTTTTATTCTAAGGGGACACAGAAATGATTAGGGTTTTTGTCATATGTAACAACTATCCAAGGACAATTTATATATAATAGATTGCATGGATGGCTTTTTGTCTGTTAATAAATAAACATTAAAGCACAATTAATACAAATTAAATACATTTCATTATAAGATTCATTATGATGGAGAAAAGGCATTTTATAACAGTTGGATATGTCTCTGTTGTTGGCATAGTAAACTCTCTTTTTAAATGCATGTCATTATTGTCCTTACATGGTTTAGAAGGTGAGGGTGTTTCTAGCAGCCAGAGAGATGGCTGGACACATAAGTGTGAAACTGTCAGACTGAGGCAATAGTAGAAGCTATTCAAGCTTGTTTTAAGTACAGAGTGCATTTACTGTCAGCGTTTACTTTAAGGAGAGGTATGAAGATGGTGTTTTGCACACTGCTGCATTTCTGTATAACGCACACAGTTGTATATTAAGCGCTTCGTTCATTCTTTCTGACATAATCTTGTTGCTAAGCAGTTTTAAACAGGGGTAAACGGCAAAGGCAGGAACACACTCTTCTCACTCAGAAAATGTGTGTCAGATATTTGTGCACACCCCCTCTGACTATAACTGTAGGGTGATGGTGAAAGAGAAAACAAATGAATATTTTCCCTTTACTCCACTGTTTTCGTCTTCTATGTACTTCAGATTAGCCTGTGGTAACTTTAGAGTACTGGATGCAAGCGGATGAAACTAAAGGGCCTCATTATGCTTTTTTGGGTTTTCCCTTTCCCTGCCTGAAACACCTCAATTGTAGTCCTTAACTACAAACTTGGTGACATCACTATGTAATACTTGAACTTCTATTGGATAGCGCTCCAACATATTGCACATGATAGACTAAGGGGTGGGATATCTCTAAGCGGTTGACCACACAAACCAGCCAGCCAGTTAACCAATCAGAGCAGACTGGGCTCTGGTTTCAAACAGAGGGTGAAAAGAGGTGCTTCAGCACAGGCAGTATGAGAAAAATAAAGACCTTTTTGAACATTAAAGCATGTAAACATGTCACAGACAGCACAGGCACAAAACACAAGTATGAACCTGAACAATTATAATAATAGGGCCCCTTAACACAAACATACATATATTTACTCTAATTTCTGCTAATAGCCAGCCTTCTTCTTAGTATATTGCTATGATGCCAGCCATGGTTTTGACACAGTTTTGATTTGGGCCTCCACTGGAATTTCCCTTGGCTTTTTTTAATGGAGTGACTGCAGTGGTCAGGTTGTCGGGAACTCCTCGAGGGTTTACACAGGACCTAAAGAAATGGAAAGCCAACAAGTCATGGTTAGCTTGGATGTGGATGAAGATCTCTCTGCCAGTATATTATGTAAGAGATTTTGTTTGGAGTCCAGTTTTACCAAATGGAAGGAAAAGACCGGCTGGCCTAACCAGCTGACCTCATTTGGTTTAACGTCTATTCATCTGTACTTTAGATGTTTCTTTTTCTTTTTTGATACTTGAAAGCATTACGAATCTTACTAATTTCTGAACCTTATGATATTTATGTAAACTCACAGTGGCTGTTGTAGGATACATTTCTCTTCTAGCAGATGGAGACTGTCTGTGGGAGGCCGTGGCAGAAAGTGTATCGGGGAGCAGGAGTCTCTGGGTAGGCGTTTTGAAAAGCCTCTCTCTTCTGCCCTCGGCCAGTCCTACTACAGTGAACCTGTAGCCCCCAGCCATCTCCCACACAACACAACACACACTTCGCTCCCCCTCCACCTCTCCCACTCTTGTTCTCTCACAGCCTATAGGTGTCAGACGGAGAACTGTAGAGAACATTATGCAGAATTGGAAGTACAGGCTATTCAAGTCCACACACTGCGGCCTCTGCCTTTCTCACAGTCTCTGTCCCGTCACGGTGAAGACCGAGAAATTCAGCTTGTAGTCTTGAAACATTGAGCAAAAGTCTTGTGTATCAGCCTGAAATCACTTTGAACGTTTCTCACTGTACTGTACAGAAGGAGAAAACGTGAGAGGAAAAACAGAAATTCAATAAGATGTTGAACTTATTCAAGAATCACCTATTGTCCTTCTGCAACTCGGGGGTTGCACAACAAAGGTATCTGTAGTGAAGTCTATTCATGCAGCACAAGAAAAAAAACATGAAAAAACAGAACAAAAACAGTAGTGCATTCTTGTAGTGCATTTTTCAGGAGGATTTTGAACAGCATCAGAAACAATAAGGGATACAAATATGACTTTCACTATCATGTTTGAGCTACATGATATGCATCATTGATGCTAGGTGTAGTCCTCCAACCCCTGTGCTCCTACGGTCTGCCTGTCAAGTGCAAAAGTGCACCCGGTTGCCACGATGGAGCCAGATCTCTGTTGGCACATGAGTCTCTGATGTTGCTGGGTTAGCCTTCTTCATCCATCTTCATTTCCTGCGACCGGAAATCAGCCAGACGCAGGTTGGGTAGTGGAAAAGTCTGGAAACCAAGTGGAAAATGTTCCTGTTATCTTGGCTTCCATCTAGGCTCTCCTCCCTTTTGATCATCTCAAGGTCCACTGCACTTTATTCTATACAAACACTTCCATCTAATGATAGTGAGTGTATCTCTGTCATATGTCATACATGCTCCAGTACCAAAGATGAAAAGATGAAGATTGAAACAAAGATATAGCTAAGTTTACTGGAAGTACCGAGAGCAGCATATACATTTGTCACCGTCACCAGCGCAATTCATGCTGAAAAGCTACGCATGATAAACACCTGAGAAGTTCTGATGGCTGAACACTTTGTATTAATTAAACGCTTATTTCACAAAAAAGTATCAGGTATTTTTCCTTGTCTATCACGATGGAAACACACAAGTTAGGAATATAACATTTTTATGAGTTCACTGTCAACCGGTACATCAAAATCAATTTTTTATTAGCAAGCTCTGTCCTCGAATTATGAATATATTCCCATTAAATGTTCACCATCAGCTCTGACTAAAGGAAAGCAATAACAATTTGGTTTTGGGGCATTAGATACTTGTAATGGTCTGGCTCTGAAATACGAGTTTAATATGCAGGCTTATTAAGAAGACTGTAGTGGAGAAAATGAAAATGCATCCTGTAGATTTAATGCATCTGTAGTCCATGTTTGACACATGCAAGGTGTATCAGAGGATCAGAGAGAGTGAGGAGAGAACCATGAGGTGGGAAAATAATCAATAATTTTTAAAACAGCAACATGACTCCATTAAGGTTGAATGGAAACGTTGTTTACCTGTAGCTGTAGCTTGAGCTTAGCCTGAATCAGCCGATGTTTCTTTGCTCAAGGATTTATTGTTTGAACATGGACATTCGATTGGGTGCAACTCACCTGCAGTTACACTTACAAAGCACACTCATCTGAGGGCTTCAACGCAAAATAATCCTTTAGAGGTCAAACTTGAAAGAAGTACATGTTGTCTTCCTCAATCCCCCATTTTCTTTGACTGCTTTTGGCTCTTTTTAGAATGGTATTCTGGTCACTTTTTGCAATGTTAACTCTAAGGCTCTATGGAACATAATGTTGGTTCTTCCACCACTAAGGACCAGACTCAAATATCTCTGCACCTTTTGGATGGATTAAGGTGAAATTCTGTACGGACATGATGGTCCACAGAGGATGAAGTCTTATTACTTTGGTGATCGCCTGACCTTTCCTCTAGTGCAGCAATAAGGTTGACATTTGTTAAAGGTATTCAAGGTCTGCAGAGGATACTAATGACTAATGACATCTTGGTTGACATCTTACGTACTGGATTATGATTGTTCATTGGTACCCAACTAATGTATGGGCCCCCAACTTTTCAATTTATACATTTCTCAACAATTAAACCATTTCTTTTTTTTAAAACACCCCAATACCAGAATCTAAAAAAATACCCCTACCAAAACATATACACATACGCTTTGAAAGGGGTCCTATTTAGCTTTTTGGGGTTTCCCTTTCCTGTAGTGTGTTATATAGATTTGTGTGCATGTCAATGGTCAGCAAAGGCTAAAATCCCAAAGATCACAACAGACAGACTGCGTGATACACCGAGAGAAGAAGAACAGACTGCGTGATATAAACAAACAACAAAAAGCGTGTGCGTTCCATTTTCACTCTACAGCGAGAAGCTCATGGGGCTTTCCCGAACCTGTGTCGAGAGCTGGAGTTAAATTAAATCTCAGATTTGCCTTCTTAATAGTTTGTTTGGGTCCCTCACTTCCGTTTCGCTTCTCATGCACTGATTCGCTAAGCTGAACTGCCAATCCGAGTGATTTATTTGGCCGACGGCTTTTAGCCGACAGCCTCCCGATTCAACATGTCGAATCGGCGGCGGAAGGTGTCAGCACGGCCGAAAAGACATGACGGTGCAGTACACACCAATCCGAGTAGGGCAACACGACGCTCATCGACGGCCCGACATCTATCGATGCCGAAAATCGGCTTGGTGTGTAAGGACCTTTAGAGACACAGAATATGACACCTGAAAACAGGGCCCCTTAAAAGTCCAACTGGATTGCTTTCATTGGCAAATTTCTCTAAATATATAGTAAGTCCAGACATGTCGCATTAAAGGCAGTTTTCCCAAATAGTTCTTCACACCTAGGTCTTATAATGACTTTGATTTAATTAGATGCAGCAGGTTATTCCGAATACAACAAAGCTCTGTGTACATATAGACCAACTTATTAGCCGCTTTCACACCAAGTACTTTGCCCCACTTAGTGCCCAGCACTTGCCCAGCACTTAGTGCCCAGCACTTATTGCCCCCATGGAACTAAGTAGAGATCGCGTTCACACCGGAATAAATTCCCTGAGGGAAGATTACGCAAATGAAGCCGCTGACGTCACTTCTTCTTCTTCTGCTTTGGGTTTACTGGCAGGCCGCAAACAACTTCACGGCGTATTCTGCCACCCGGAGTCCCCGGCCGGAAGTCCCCGGAGTTGGGGACTGGCTTCTACTGAAGCCTTCCGAGTAAATCGCCAGAACGCCGACACCTCCTCATCACTCCTCCGCTCCCATGTTTTTTTGTTGTGTTGCCATAAGTTATTCTCTCTCCGTTGGTGTGCGGGGCTAATGCTAATAATGATAATGCCTAATGCCAGCAAATACAATGGCGGCTTCAAAAAACTTTTCCGAGTTTTACGGGCCGTGGTTTGCAATTCGCCCAGCCAATAGAAATTGGTACTTTTTTCTCCCCAGGATAGTACCACCTCTCTAGCAGGCACTAAACATGGGGGTAAAAGTTCTCTGAACTAAGTTCTCTTTTTGGTGTGAACGCAAAATTCCAGGCACTATCGGAACTAAACGGGAAAAGTACGGGTAAAAGTACTCCGGTGTGAAAGCGCCTAATGACAAACAAACTAACCTGTTGCTTTGTCTTAACTCTTTCTCTTCCCTTTTCTCACTTCCTCCCTGCTTTGACAACATCAATGCTCTGCTTACTTTATATGCAGTTGCTATAGTTTTCACTTTTCCAAATAGGTTTTATTTAGATTCCTTTATTTTGCCCATTCACTTTGAATAATGTTTCTTCCTGGGGTTAAGATGAAGGCACTGGACATTATCAAACTGTGTGTGTACAAAAGTCTTTCATTAAATTTGAATGAAAAAAAGCACAAAGCTCAGACTGCATTGTGTCTGGAAAAGCCAATATTCTTGTTGAACTTAAATGCACTTTTCTTTTAAGATGTTGTCAGGGACCAAGCAGTAAGGCAGGGGTGGGGAACCTTTTTCCTCTCAAGGGCCATTTCAATTTTTTCAACATCCTCCGAGGGCCGTACAAATTATTGACCTCTGCTTAAAAATACTAAAATCACAGCCCATTCATTTCGCTCCTTGCAGTATTTATGAGTCCTCAGCGCTCGGCCACGCCCTTTGCTGAACCAGGAAGTAACCTCCCCCAATGGACATGGTAACTCAAGAGACAAAGAAAGTAATTAATACAAACAAATACTTGTGTTAGCTATGCTAAAATGTTTGAAGTAATGTCAGATTAGAATCAAATAAAGAGTTTACCATTTAAAGCAAATGTGTGGTGTTAATTGGCATGTTTTATTGCAGCTGCACTGAAGCAAACTACTGAAGGTGAGGGTGCAGTGTAGTCAGACCCGGCGCCGTGGGAGGGCCAGGGGGGGCCAGGCCCTCCCATTTGACATTCCTGCCCTCCCCCAATAAACACGTTTTTTATTATTTATAAAAAATAAAAATAAAATGATTTGTATTTTTTAAATTATAAATAAACTGTGAACTTTAATGCTACAGTACGATGTATGTGATGTCAGTCAGAGTAATACATGAAAAACAGGTATGAAATACTATGACAGTAAAACAAGAATAGAGTTTAAAAGGGGAGTGATTTGTAAAATATCCATAAAGAAAAAGAAAATCTGTTTACAGTTCTGTTTCATATGGGTGTTGAGAGATGTATCCATAGATCTCTTCATGTTGCTCACAAAGTGCACCAGATTGATGCATTTAACTTCAACATTTAAAACAAAATCTTCCCGGGGGAGCAAGCCCCCGGACCCCCCTAGAAGAGGTTAGGTCCCCCCCCCACTTAAATCATGTTCACATGGATAGGATACTAAATACATTTGCACACATCTTGTGTGTCTATGCGTGAGTCATGGTAAGATATCTGGATTAAGAGGTTGCTTTTTCTTTGCACAGCATGGAAGAAAGGCGAAATGAATGGGCTGTGATTTTAGTATTTTTAAGCAGAGTTCAATCATTTGTACGGCCCTCGGAGGATGTTGTGAAAATTGAAATGGCCCTTGAGAGGAAAAAGGTTCCCCACCCCTGGTCTACAGTAATAGGATACAATAATGAAATTATAATTATTGTGGATAAAATCCTTTTTGGTAATCCTACCCTGTTTATGTTTATTTCTAGTTGGTGACAAGGTGCCTGCTGACATCAGAGTGACCTCTATAAAGTCCACCACCCTGCGAGTGGACCAGTCCATCCTCACAGGTATTTCCTAACCTTCATCAGACTCCAAACAAGGCTTTCACATAATTCAGATAGAGTATACTCCCTTACACCTTTATTGCATGGACTTGGACGACTGAAGGTTAACATTGTGTAATTTCAGTGTCTGTGATTTTCTTTCTGTGATATTACTTCCTACCCCTTTAGGCTGTAAGTGTAGCTGTGTTCAATTTCCCTCGGAAAATCCCATTGTTGGTCTAATAGTCACATATATCTAACCCGGTACAATTATCTCATACCCTGTTTCTTTCAGGGGAGTCTGTGTCCATCATCAAACACACTGACCCTGTTCCTGACCCCAGAGCCGTCAACCAGGACAAAAAGAACATGCTGTTTTCCGTAAGCAACTGCCTGCAGCTCACCGAGTCATGTTTATCTTATTGAATCTAGTGACTGTAATTCTTATTTGACTTCTCTGGTGATCTAAAGGCAACTACATTTAAATTATTTCTATTTTAATTGAAACTCTCTTCTCTTATGTTCTGAGTAATAACTTGAAATTATTTTATTCACAAATGTAAGAACATTATGAAGAAGAAATAAGAAACCAGAAAATAGATAAAAAAATTCCTTAACAGTAAATCCACATTTACAGAATTGTACAATTAACATATGTGGAGGTGCATTACAAATGTATCAAACAATTGTTATAAATCTTTGCAAACGAAAGTCCTTTTTAAATGTTTTTTTAATAACAAGAATGTAGATGTTGATTGTAATGATGAAAGTAGGTTTCCCAAAGAGTTGTTCCTTTGCATTTTAATTAACATTAAGTTAAGTCCGACTGTAATGAAAAATATGTGTCTTGTGAAATATGGATAAATGTCTGAGGACGGCTTAAAAACATTTCTTGAAGGTGCGAGACACGTCATGGCTGAAGTGTATTTTTACATAAATATGTTTTTATATCGACTGCATCTTTCTGCCTCACTTTCTTGCACCTAATGATCTTTTATTCCTGCAGGGCACAAACATAGCTGCAGGCCGCGCTATAGGTGTGGTCATCGCCACCGGCGTTTCCACAGAGATCGGTAAGATCCGTAACCAGATGGCAGCTACGGAGCACGAGAAGACGCCTCTGCAGCAGAAGCTGGACGAGTTCGGGCAGCAGCTCTCAAAGGTCATCTCCCTGATCTGTGTGGCTGTGTGGGTCATCAACATCGGCCACTTCGGGGACCCCGTCCACGGGGGCTCTTGGGTCAGAGGGGCCATCTATTATTTCAAGATTGCCGTGGCCCTGGCTGTGGCCGCCATCCCCGAGGGTCTGCCTGCTGTCATCACCACCTGCCTGGCCCTCGGAACGCGCCGCATGGCCAAGAAGAACGCCATCGTCCGCAGCCTGCCGTCAGTAGAGACCCTGGGCTGTACCTCTGTTATCTGCTCGGACAAGACGGGGACCCTCACCACCAACCAGATGTCTGTCTGCAAAGTGAGTGGCAAGGCTTTGATTTGACTGCTGGTTATACAGTTAAAGGAATAGTTCTACTTTTTTTTAAATATATTTTGTATATCAATAACTGACCCCGTGTTACTTAACATTCTCGAAGAAACTTGTTAGGGAGCTTCCATGGTGAACAAAGACGGAGACAATAAGTCGTGTACTACCCCTAGAACACACATTTTCATTCAAATATTTTAAGAATCCGTCCAAATGACCACAAAAAGAAACCAAAATCTTTAGGAATATCATAGGAAAATTTAATTTTGTGATTCGGTATCAAAAGCTTTTTAGAGATTTTTACAAGAGCAGCAAATTGTGTAACAGTGAATTTAAGTTTCAGAAAATGGTTTCACTACAATGAAATAACTGACTAACATCAGCACACATTAATACTGTTCAGCTCAGTCTCGGATTTGTAGTCATATCCACATTTTTGCTATTCCAAGACTGTTAAAGGACCCCAGCATTCAGAAATATTCAAATACACCCTTTTTAAAATGGGCAGAAAAAAAGCATGTACACTGCAGGCAGAAAGCATTAGCATAAAGTTGGCATGCCTGTAAAGGGGAGACTCATGGCTATTCATCACTCCAATATTTTGAGGTAATAGGGTCAAGGAACTTCTGTGTATAGGCCATGCCAGTTAGCTTAATATAAAGTGTAATTTAGCCCCCGTCTGTCAAGCCAACAAGACATGGTTGGTAAACAGATTGTTGACTTTGTCATCCAGCAATCAGATTTTTTTTAGAGATTAAATAGTAAGGTTTTAACAACAATGCTAAAAGTGTGCTAGTGTTTTGGAAGTATTGAGAATATAACCTAATTCATGAGACTTGTATTATGTTGCACAAGTTGTGTGAGAATTTATTAACAGATGTTTAGTTCTGCTACAGTTAAATTCAGCCCCTGAGTATTTGATATGCAAATGGCCATTTCCTGGGTGAAGTGTTCCTTAACGGCTGAATTGTTGCAGAAACTCAATTCTAAGTATTTGATTTTCACTTCCTGCCGTTTGAATGACATTTACAAAAATGTTCCTGGGAATTCTTTGTTGAAAAAATGTTACAGAGGTTAATTCAACAAGGGTTTGCTGTTTATTATTGATTTTTCTTTTCCGTCTTTGAGATTTCTCTTTTTTTCCCTAGTGTGTTTTTCCTTTATTTTTTTCTCATGATGGATGGAAAATCCTTGTGCTGTTGTAATGTTTACCTCCGTGTGGCAGCTTTGAGATAACTGCCACACACACACACACACACACACAGAAGGTTTTCCAACATGTCACATGGGCTGAATAAATACATTATAGCCATCCATATCCTGAACTGTAGGGAGGTTTCAGTGTATAAATAGTGTAAATATAATTACATGAGACAAGCATGGAAAGATCTTATCCACAAGTATTCATGAGTACTTCTGCAGCACATAGCCTCACCCTTTTCTTTGTCTTTTAGTATGTGCATCCGTGTGTTTGCAAGCCATCTTTGCTCCGAGCACAGAGTAAATGCCAGCACTGCTGTTTGTCTTGGCTCTTGTTCAGGGCTCTAGCTCTACACACACACACACACACACACACACACACACACACACACACACACACACACACACACACTACCACACACACACCTCTCTACCTTAAATCCTCCATTGCACTTCTTACGTTAGCTAAGTATTGTGGTGCTGCAGGGAAGTCACGGCCTACAAACGGTATTCTACAGAGAAAAAAAATGTAGTTTGGTACAGATTCTCTTAAAAAAATCATACCTAGATCATGTTTTTGAAAACTATCATTCCCTCTAATATCACACATTATCTCGCAATTGCAATATCAGCCCCAATTTAAACAATTTTGAGCTTACTAAAAAGGGTGTCATGTAATGAGTTTAATTTGTGATATTGGGCTGTATAAATGAAATTTGATTGATACTAGATGACCAAAATGGGAATTATTACTATTAGAATCTGGACATTTGGGACCCGATAATCATTGCGCTTCGATCCAAAATGCTGTTGATCGGAACAGCCACAGCTGTATGTGCCATACATTTGACGAACAGCTGCTGTCTAAAGGAATATAATAATGTCCTAGGAAATAATGTGAAGAAATGTTCAAAAATAATTTATTTGCTTCAAAGACGAATAATTAAGAAATAATTGAAAGTAATATTCTTTTTTTACATCCCTCACCATTACCAAAACACTCTGAAGCCAGCTGTCACAGTGAAAGAATGCCATTAGTTATTTTATGTCTGGGAATACAGTATATGTCCAGAAAACAATTGTCATTCCTAAGCATAATAGTGATCATAACACAGAAAGGTAAAAAAAGGTCATTACTAAGGTATTATGCATATGACAAACCTGAGACGTAAAGTAGTAACACCTGTTCAATGTCAGATCCTTATTCCTCAGGACCAAAGTTTCATCTTTTCTTCATCTATATTGATAGATCATCTTTTTTGTGTTGATAACATTATTTATATCAGTAATGCAACTAAAGCTGCAGCCACACGAGGACGATAACGGTCGTATCCGCTACAGTTCTCTATCATATAGACGGTTCGGCCACACGAGGCCGACAGGGAAACGCAGATAACGATAACGATAACGGGTCCCAAGGTGGGTAAATCTGCGGACGAAACGCTCTGGGGGGGCAAACGGCTCCGTGTCTACGCCCTATAACGATCATTTCCTGATAACGATGACGCAATAGCCCCAGTGTTTCGAGCCAGGTCCCGGTATCTCGCAGGACAGTGCACCCAGCAGGAGCTTCCAGCTAGATTTGATCGATATGGACATAAACGCGAGTGAAGTCTAATCGGACAGGAGAGGAGACACGCAGCTCTGCATGATAACCTGCAGCTCCGCCCGCTGTGATGGAGCGATGAGCGGAACAAAACACACACTTCAAGTTAGATCATCACCCTTAGCTATTTTAATTACCTCTCAAACTACCTAAACTAGTTATGAATATGTTTGTTTTTACTGTCGGGTCACTCTTTACTGGATCAGCCAGCTGCACGAGACCACGGATACTGACGGGCTGTCAGGAGAGGGGGAGGAAAAGAGAGGCTCCGTCCTCCGTGTATTATTCTTATATTATTATATAGAGTCGTTATTCATTTGTTTTAAAGCTCAATAAATAACAAAGAAGACCTTTGACCGGCACTTTTCAAATTTTGTCCGGAAGATTTAAACTTTAACAGACATGTTGACCGGCGAAACCCCACCTCTGCTGCTAAATCCAGTGCGGAGAATAAACAGAAGGGCAACCATGGCAACCATGCATGCGCAAGAAGTCTTCTTCGCTGCTTTTGGTGTATTTTGTGGTAGAAGTACAGCGCCACTTACAGGCCCGGCATATGTACTACAGCGTCTCCAGCGGTTCGAGCTGTCTCGTGTGGACGGACACGTTTCTGGTGCCTATTGCGTGTGGACGGAAGACTTTTTTGATAACGATTTCAATTTGTTTCCGTTATCGTCCTCGTGTGGCTGCAACGTAAGGGGCTTGAATATTTGTACTAGAGTTAAAAGTACAATATTTACCTCTGAGATGTAGGGTGGTAAGGTAAAGAAATTGCAGAAACGATAAATATTCAAGGAAAGTGAACTTAAAATGCACTTGAGTATAGTACTGGAGTAAATGTACTTCAATGAAAACCTGCTTAGGTATTCCTAGAGGCTTATTGTGATTGGCTGAGACTCGACTTTCAGAGTGTCCAATGTGACAATGCCTGGATAATAGTTAATGCTATGTTCTACACTAGGTCATATTTAGTGACTGTAGTTAGAACAGTAGTTGATTTCCTGCAGACTGCATAGAGTGCATTAATTATGTTCTGACAAGACTTACTCCGGTCAGGAGAGCAAAGCAAATAAATCGATATATCTCGACTTCTAGTTGATCTTCCATTTTATTTTTTGCCATTTTCAAAATGGAGCATCAGAGGACTGTACGGCAGACACTCTCACAGTACGGCCCTCCCTCCCCTCGCTTCTCTCACTCCTCGAGATGATTCAACGGTGTGATTAATGCGTAGCGGCAGGGAGTTCCCTCTGGCAGGAGGGACACGCAGCAGTGATCCCACCGCAGCCCCCCTAAACCCTCCTGAACAGAAAGAGAGCGAGGCAGGCTGACGCTGGTAAATATTGACCTTCTGCTTCCACCTGCACTCCCTCGCCTGCTGCTCTCCACTCTCTGGTGCGAGATAAGACGGCACATTCGCACTCACACAAAGACAAATCAAACTTCCGTCGTTTTTTTTGGCCATGGTGTTTCCTGGAGATAGCAATATTAGTGGTTGCCCCGCATCGTGTTGGCTGTGTTTTATGGTTTTTGTACGTCACGATTTTAAATGCCCACATGAATGTTTACCCAGGCTTATCCATCTGTGCTCATTCTCGGACTGGTCCCCAGCCAGGGGCCCTTATGGCACCACGTGTCTCCCCTGCCTCGGGGGTATCCCCCATATCCGCAGGGTTCCAGGGATTCCCCCTCTGTATCCTGACTTCCCTTTTCCCTTCACACACATGAAGAGACAGCACACGTATAAACAAGTTACTCAGTGTTCGACCCCACACAGGCTCAGACGAAGTGAGTAGAAGAATACAAACTTGTGCCTAGTTTCCTTGGAGACCACAACAGATCAGATAGTGAGAAAAAATGTGACCACAGATGAAAGAACAACCTTATTTTATCCAGCTTTGTGTGTGCTGTAGTGAGAGTCTTTGTTGATCTTATATAGATCCCAGCCTGAAATTAAGAATTCAGCAGAAGGGGGGAGCTATTTCAAAGTCTCTTAAAGTGACAGTGTATACAATTTAAATTGAATAATGGGCTAGATCTGTGCTAATCGGGCCTGTATTTTATTGGTAAATGTAAAGGTTGTTTAAGGATATATTTTTTGTACAGTTAAACGTAATTCTTCACAAATGCATCTGAGGAACAGCTGATGTTTACAGTGCAGCCAAACAAACGCACTGTTTTACGA